CTTTAATGTTTTATTATTATTATTATAATAATTATAGAAATTCTTAGGTGTTCATCAATGTTCATTTATGTGTAAGGACAAGAATATGCAATTGTACTATCACAAGCATTTACAGATATGTGCATATTAGTCTTGATTTGTGGACTCTAAAAGATGATCATAAATATTTTACATATGACAAAGATCATTTGAAATTCAGGCATCTCACACACAACAGGATGAAGGTTTCAATGAACTATGAAGCCACAGTTTAGGTGATTTCCGTTGCATTTAATTCTAATTTCCCATACATTAATATCACTATCCCAGTAAGGCTGTAGGCTTTGGGGATTAGAGTATAGCCTTATTAGCCAACTGACAGCTTCATTGAAACTACTTAGCTCAATAGCTCTTTGCTGTTTTTTGAGTACACACATTATTTAGGACAGTCCTATGAACTGCTGCCAGATACGAGGAAACGATTCACCAGGGAATCACTTTTCTGCTCGTCTGCTGCTGCTACCACTTCCCTTGCAAATCCTTTTCTGTAAAACCGGATCAGAAAATCCAAAACTACCTGTCATGTCACAAGACATAAACATTTTCATACATACTGTTCAATGTAAACAGACAACTGCTGCTTGTTCCCAAACCATAATCATTTGTTCTTTCACCTTATTCATATTGCAGTAGGTAATATATTATTACTTGCACTTAGATAACAGTCTTTGTTAAGTACTATGCTAACCTTGTGCAATATTGATATCTGAATATAACAGCAACTGCAAAATACACCTCCAACAGTTTTTTTTTCAGTGTCTGTAGTATATATTTTGTTATACTTTCCAGGGAATACTATATTGTCAAATCTGTTTTATCCCAATAAGGCAGGTTTTTCAGAGAATTTAATTCTGCAATCAACAACCACGATCAAGTGGCAACCATCAGTTCCAATCTTCAGAGAACAATGATAATGTTTGTGGGTCTACATAGGTCCTACTAAAATCTCTATGAATTTGTTCGAAAAATGCTACAAAGAAAACACCACCAAACAAATTGCACATTGCTATCTGGCAATTACCATTGTCAAGAGCGCTGAGCTGCCAGTATGATAGTATATGCTTGTTCTTTATCCTTGTATCATGTAGCATAGTATATATAAGGGATGAGAAAAACTGTTTCTAATGGTATGTTACCATTCAGTGCTTTAAAGTCAGCGCTGTTCGTTTTTGGAGTAAGGC